CCATAGAAGGGAGTTATTTTAGCCTGGAGGGAGTTTGGTTTTCCACAAATCAAACTTGCCTTTCCTACCACAACCAGTACAGAAGTACTAGACAGTAATGTTGAATGGCCATGATGAATGAGGATCTCTATGTCCTATGAAATTGCAACAAGCTCTTTGAGTCATCAAAGGAAGATTGGATTAGGTTCCATCTTGTTGAGAATATGTTAGCATTCCAGGTATTTGGATACTGACAATCCATGTACTACCTTCTGTCGTTATTTGATTCAGTTCAAGAAGCTCTACCAAGGACCTGCCCATCCCTCCCTAATAACGACATCTGATTAACTGAGATCCTCTTTCCCATCCAATAATAGGGACACATACAAATGATAACAGTGACTTTGGGCAATCTAATTGCTGACTCAAGCTCACCACTGCTTTTCATTTCTCCCCGAGTCAATATAGTCATTCCTTCTTTGAGATGATTCTATTAAGCACCAGCTATGTATTAGACACTGGCTTGCAACTTTGAGATACTAAGCGTTCGCTGAAGGAAAGAAATTCATAAATTGCATTACAGTGCAATAGGGTAAATGGTATAACAGGAATGTGCATGCCTGGGGATTCTTCTTGGGAAGGAGTGTAAACTATCCAGAGGGACTGGCTTTTAAGCTGCAAGACTAGGAAATTTCCAGACAAAGCAGGGCAGAAAAGGCATTCCAGGAATTGAGAACACACAGTATTTGAAGCCAGTGAGTAGTTCCCTGTGGCTGGAGAGAAATAGAGGAGACTCAGCAGGTAAGGTTAGTATCACATTCAAAGGGCCTTGAAAAATTAGCTCAAGGCAATGACAGGAACCAGGACAAGAATGTTCAGTAGGGGAGTGAGACAGTCAGATTCTACTTTTCAGTTAATTTAACAGTCTATGTTGAGATTACTTGGGATGGGACAAAAGGGACCAATGGCCAAAAGATGAGTCAGCATTCAAATGACAAATCATAAGGGCCTTTACTGACCAGAGACCACGGGGATGAAGCTAAGGGGCTGGAAGTAGAAACGAGGTAGAAACAGTTGCCAATTTGATGTATGTCATAAAGGGGAAGAGTGAGGCGATGTGGACTGTAGTTTCTTTATGGAGTCACAGTTAATGGTGTTGAACAAAATTAGGAATATAGAAAGAATTAATTTTTTGTGGGGGGAAATGAGTGTGTTTTGATATGGTATGAATTTGAGGTACCTTTGAGATATCAAAATGCTGTATCTGTAGGTAGTTCAATATAAATATATTGAAGGAGATGGGTTGGAACACTTGTAAGAAAAGTAGGGAAAGGTGATGTCACACAAGGAAACTTTTAAAGTTCATGACTGCACTTGAAGCCAGGAAATGAGGCTAAGGGTGAGAAGAGAAGACAGTCTGTCTAGGTAGATCCCCGTACAAACAACTCTTCTAGCCCCTTTCAAATCTTCCATGGCCAACCTCTCTTTCAGTCACTGAAAACAGTAAGTTGGCCACTTGCTCTTTATTTCCATTTCTTGAGCAACATGCTTGGATGATAGAAGAAAATTTTTTCTGAGAAAGACCTCCTATTCTATTCTCTTAAAACATTTCAGTCATTTTTACAACTTAAACCAAGCAGATTTTTCCTGGGAGCGACATCTAGAAAATAAATGCATATTGGTGTAGTCGAAGACCTCCAAAGAGGCTCTGTGATTATTTTTAGAGTGAACCTGAGGAGGAGGTGCAGGGAGGTATGGCTGGGGGAGCAGAGAGCAGGGGAGGGAAAGAAGAGGGATGTGGCTGAGGGACCACATGCCCTTGAGAAGAGAAAGGAGAGCTGATTCCTTAGGGCACCCTTTCCCAGATTTCCATAATTTGTTCACCACCTTCACAGTTTTTGCAAAACTCCCCATACCATCTGCACAATTATTTACTTAATTTTTTCTTCCTAAATCAATTTATGTTCATACCAAACAGGTAATACCACTTTTGAAAAAGGAGACCTGCATCACTTACAATGAACATATAGGGGACTAGTTTTAAAAGTTAAGAGCTTCAATAAAAAAATTTTGATGCTTACATTCTGGCCAGATGCTGTCATTTTGCCTATGGCCATGAACGTGGGACCTGCTCTCTCCTGGCAAAGATGTGTAATGAGCAAGCCTTAGAAAGGTCTTGAAGACATCCTAGCACCAAACTCAAATTTTTCCTCTAGATCATTGGAAGGATTGAAATAAATTGAAAAGAGAACAGCCTTCTCACTAAGTAATTCAATGTTATTTAATCCTGGGTACCACAGGTGGCATTCACCTAACCCTTTGGTTCACTTGTAGGATCAATGCTGCAGACAGGTAGGGAGGGTGGCTGGGGACTGAAGAGCCTGGCACTGGCCTGAGGCATGCAGCCAGTTCCCACACACTCCCTTGGAGCCTGTGGTTGTCAGAACTCAGAGGAGTCCATTCTCCCCGGCTGGAAGCCCTGGAAGCCCTTGGGAGCCACGTATGGAAGCTTTAGCCTTTGGTGTTGGTGCTGTTCTCCCTGGGGAAGCAGGATTTACCAAAGCGATCCCTGCTAGGAGGGAAGCCAGAGGCTTTGGCTGCAGGGAGCAGAGTCTCCTCTTGGAGCAGAGAGAGTGAGTTGGAAAGAACCGATGACCCATGTCTTAATGGAAGCAAGTAACATAGCCATAGCCTTTGGCTGATGAGACCACTTAGAAAACCTTATGTATTGCTAACTTTGCAGTAATCTCTCTGGAAAAGAAAACCTGGCAGGCAATCCATCAGTCACCCATGTGCTTTATGTACAATGACATGCCCTGGGCCCATCTATCATCAGGGTGAGGGACTGCAGCATAACAAGACCTGAGGATGAATATTTCACATTAGTTTCTTAGATCTGACTTCCCAGGAAACAACACAGGGTTTGAAGTCATTTGAAATGTTAAAAAAAAAAAAAAAGACAACTCTCGTCCCACTGTTACTATGACAGTGATGTTGTTCTGATCTCTTTGGCTTTCATCAAATTAATTGTCTGTTCCTTTACAATGGCTCAGATACAAGGCTATAGATACTATCAGAGAGAACAGTCTGGTTTTGAATAGTAATGAGGGATGGATGCGCACAATGGCTGTTCTCCTTGGAAAACTGGAAAGGGATGTGTGCATGAAAGTTTGCTGACCCAGCCAGGGGTGTAACAATTTAGAATGTTTGCTTAGGATGCTTGAAGTAAGTACTAGAAAAATGTGATATTCTTAGACTTGTTGGAAGGTCACAGTTTAGCTAAATATTGCCACTTTTAATTCAGCATAAAACTTCCAAATATCAGAACTGAAAGAGACTATAGGGACCATCTAATTAAAAGCCATCATTTTTCAGATGAGAAAACTCAGAGGCCAGAAATGATTTGCCCAAGATCTGGCTCTGAAACTCACAGTAAACAAGAAAATAACCACTTGTCCTTTTCACCTATATAGTCTAAACAAAAAGTTTTCACTTATATAGTCTAAATAAAAGTTATCTAATGTGATAGAAAGCACATTAAATGGAGATTAGTTAATAATTATTCTTCTGTGCATGATGAATAATTTTTTTGTCCTCCCTTGCTGCCTATATAATTAATAATTTTTGTCCTTCTGGTGGTTAGGAAATTTGCTTAGGAGAGTAGATATAAAAAAAGGAGAAAAAAGGTAAGCAATTGATGAGACCGTATACTTCTATTTTCCAATGCCATAAGCCTTTCTCAGGGTTCCTTTTACTGAAGGGATATTTTATCCTAAAGTAAAGGAATTTTTCTGTGAGTGGTCCTGAAACTTCTGTTATTTGGTGAAAATGTGTGTTCCTATGGCTCCCAGGTGTAAGGAGTTGACAGCCTGTAGGACAAAATGCCCAAGCCCCTGCCTAAGTGCAGGGGCCTCTGACTTCCAGGTCTCCCGTCCCTTGTTAGGATGATCTAGGGATTCTGTGAGAGGATGAGAAATTTGAGAAAGGAGACACAAGCATCCCAGTGGGGCCTCATTTTGCTCAGGTCCTAGCTGTCTTTTTCATCTGAGAAAGAAAAGTAGAGAAAGCAGAACTGTACACTTTAGTCAAATAAAATTAGATGCCATCAACTAAAACAATTGCTTTTGACCACTTTTCTACCATGCCACATTAGTCTTCCAGCTAAGGGGCATTGACCTTTCCAGTAATAACAGTAATAAGCCCTGAGATTTGTACAGAGGTTTGCAGTTAACAAAAGGCATTCACATGTATTATCTCACTTGCTCCTCATCGCAACTCCTAATAGGGGTAATTGTCCCCACTTTACAGATGACAAAACTGCCTCCAGACAAATTAGCAGGTGTCAGACTTGGAGATTTTGATTCTATATGATTTGACCACTATTTGGTTTTTCCCTTCTATCACTTATAAATATCTGCTTTATTGCAGCAATCTTACCCTCTGCTAGAAGGAAATGATATACTTAGAAATGAACACACAGGGCTTAGCACAGTTCTTGGCACGGAGTAAGTCTTGTGTGTAATAGTTATTGTTGAGGAAGAGGCAGTGTGATGGAATAATTGGGATCACAGGGTTTGGGAGCAGAAAGATCTGTATTTGAGGAGAATGTTCTGGATAGTCTAAGTCCTTCCCTCTGAAAATGTTTTATGCAAGCTGGGCCAAATGGCTTAACTTACATGAGGCCATTAACACCTACCTCGCAAGATATAATTGTGAACGAGAGGCAGATATGCATGCGGAGCTCAGCACAGCACCTTTACCTCGTGTTCAGTACACGTAGGGGTGATTACCTCAAAACGATTTGCCCGCAGACCTTATCATAAGGAAACATAGCAATGACTGCCTTGGAACCAGATGCCAAACATTTCATAGTTAAACCCCTTGTTTTTTAAGTTTCAAATAGTCAAAGGCCTTCTGTCTTTGCCTCTTTCTTCCCTGTCTGTGTCTAAGTTTATGACAGTGTTCTGTGGTCCCGGCAGCTTCCGTGCCCTACAGAGCCGGCCTCATTTGTGGCCAGGTACCTGTATATGATGCATGCAGTGTTCTGGCAGGTACTGCAATTGTTGAGATCTTGGCCAGTTCGATAAAAGTTGCGCCTGCAAGATAGAACATTTTCTATATAAATCTATGGGCAAAAGTCCCATGGGATGCATGCATTCTACCAGCTCATTTCCCATGTCACAGTATTGCTACCCTGACAGGTAACAGTGCTCCGGAGTTGCATGACCATTACAAATAAAGAAACAAGAGACACACAATAATAGGACCTTACATTTCTAAAGGGTTTTATAAATGTTTAAGTACTTTCACATCTGAGGTTTTCTTCATACTGATAACAATCCTATGAGTTGAGTCAATTATTCTTATCCCCACCTGTTAGATAGGGAAACTGAGAGAATTTGCTAGTGAGTCAAAAAACTATTAAACTCCTGATCCTGCAGTTTAGTGCATTTCTCTTGCATCACCACAGTGCTTCTCTGTTTATAAGGCAATGTTGGTTCTGATTCATATCAGCAAATGCTAGTTAATTACTTCTTCTCTCTCTTACCCTTTTGTTAATTAGCTTGAGCCATTTCTTCTTCTCAGTCTTTAGGGAGTACTTTCTTGAGGGACAAGCATTCTATACCCAAACAAATAACTGCCTTCCTCTTCCCAGACTGGTGCTGAGTCACCCAGGAAAGCATTTTTTTACTTCTTTCTCTTTGCAGAATTGTGATCTCCTTTCATTTCCTACTTCGCTGATCAGTGATGGACTGACCTGAGCCATCGAAGTGGTCAGTGGCGGGGAGGGTCAACAGTAAGCTTAGTGGTCACTTCAAGTCCTTTGTAACAAACATACATACCTAGAATATTGTGGAAATACAGGAACTTGCTAAGAGGATGGGGTGAGGGAAGTGCCCGCATGCTATCATTTTCTCCCATCATTTACCAACTGGACCCCCACCTTCATAAAAATCGTTTTTGATCCTGCCACTTCAATGCCTCCTTTTTGCAGTCTGTTGCTAGCTGTAAACAAAAACAAATAACCATGGAAATCCACCAAAGCCTAGAAGCAAATGAAACCCTGTCAGAACAAAGGGAGGCCATTAGGTATGACTGGGGAAACCACAGAAATTCAAACACTTTGGAGCCATTTTACTAACAGAAACCAATGCTTTCTCTCTCTGCCCCTGTCCTGGCAAATGGCTTAACCCAGTAGTTTTCAATATTAAAAAAAAATTTCACCTTACCCTTCTGTGAGAGCTCGAGCTTTCTCCAAGTCTTGAATTACATTCAAAAGGACTTTAATTTTCTCTTGATTCGAGTGCAGAGATTCCTCCACGGATTGCAGCCTACCTTGGAGGTCACAGAGTTCACCCCGTGCCAGGTGATTTTGATTAATCCCCCCAACCTCCCTGTTGCTGTGAAGTCTGGTCTCCCTCCTTGGAAGACAAGATGGGAGGTGATTGCTTCCCAGACAGTTTTGAAACTTAGGGGTGTCCGACTGGGTAGGGTTCACTGCCGTCTGCTCAGGACTCATGGGGGTAGATTTTGATGCGCTGTTAGTTTTGAGTGACAGCAGATAGTGATGGTTGGTACTCGATGAAGAACATTCTGACGGCCCTCCTGGACAGGCTGGCTGGCTGTGGGAACCAGGTGAGGGGTTGCTAGGAGTCCGTGGAGGTGAGGGAACATGTGTTGCCTTTGACTGAGATGACAGTGGGCCAAGATCTTTGTTGTCAGAGTTGTCTTTGGGCAAAAGCAATTCGGATTTAAGTTCCCCTGTACCTAGCATAAGGTTGGCACTGCTGGTGGCATTTGAGCAGGAGGGGAAACTTTCTGAATCTGATAGTGGCACTCTTCTCCCATCACCTGGGCACATGTCAACCAAATGGTGTTGGGAGTTGCTTATCTCCACTGCCCTGTCTGGGCTGAGAGTGGACTTGCTAGCTGCCCAGGTTGGACTGTGATAAATATCATCTGGTACCTGAATGGCAGCTGTTGCTTTCTCTGAGGTCCTCCAAGTCCCTGCTTCCAAGCATATACTAACAGGCCCATTGCTTTGCACCTTGGACATTCTAGGGAGAAATGGATGGGGCACCTTGATCCTTTGAAGCCCATCCTCAAGATGTTGAGCCAGCCTTAAGTAGGCAAGATCAGAGGATACAATGTCCTGTTCAGACAGGTTGCCATTGACTTGGATGGCACTTTGGGATGTTGTTGGCATTTCCACCAGGGACTTGCTAGTTGTGAGTCTCTTCCTCTTGAAAACCGGGAAATGCTTCCTGAGACTAGGGGAGGTTTGGATTGCAATGTTCCTAAAGCCCCCTGCCTTCTGGGACCTGGGGAAGGAGAGCGAGTAAGTGGGGAGGTGATGGTGCCTGGGTGCTTGAGTCATGCCCATTACAGCCAGGTCCTCAGAAGTTTGGACATCAACCTCAGCAAGGCCAGGTGGAGTCTTACTGGTCCCATCTTCTTTGAATCGTACCTGCTGAGATTTGCTCCTGCGGTGGTGTGGCTGCTTCACAAACTCTACTGACTCTAGACTGTTACGCTTTAGAAGCACAGGTCGCACTTTCATATTTTGCTGGGCCATTGAGCCTCAGTTGAAAGGATTGGGACCATACACTTCTCCTAGGCACATTTCCTTAGGTTTTTGCTGCAGCAACTAATGATGGCATCTCAGACATGGAGATCTGTCAGCTAGGATGGAGTGATCTTGTCCTCTGAGTATGTGCAACTCTGTCAGCCATTCCCAGCCAGTAGATTCTACTTGGCAGCTACTTAATGCTCACCTGGTAATGCTTCACCTGCAGTTAAAATATTATTTCACTACAGTGATGATTGCCACTTAGATAAACAATGAGTTAGGCTAATTATTAAACAACTGATTTACCAAGAGAGCAGGTGGGCTGCTTATCAAGGGAGGCCAGCAGGCAGTTCTGATCCTAGAGGAAGCTTGCTGTCTTGAACAAAAAGACAAAACCAAAGTACTATTTAGAAGACAGCACAGACTCCCAACGTGTGAAATCTGAAAGAAACCTGCTATGTCTGGAGCATATGGGTGCCTTTCGAAGAGCATCAGTTTTCAGTGTAGAACTGCCGGAAACTTACACACATCTTCTTACTATAGCATGTAAACAGGCAGAGAAATAAATGACCTGGGGGTTGGCTTCTTCCATGATCCATGATGTTCCTAAGAGAACATCCCCATTTGTGTCAACCACAAATTCCTCCTTGAGAGCCATTGTTTTCTTTCATGCTATTTCCCTTTCCTTCAGTGAGGGAAACTTATCTTCCTAAATAATCTCACAAAACCCAGTGGGGTGTGACCAGGGCAGGATTGAGGTGTCCGAGGGCATTCAGAAGGCAGAGTCCCTGACGTGCTGTTTTGGCTGAACTTCACATGTGGGGAAAGGGAGCCATGTCTGCAGCTTTTTTGAATCTGAGCAGAGAGCTGTGTTCGCTTGGCCTTGGGGGTAGGGATCTGGGGCCCCCGGCTGTCTTTGCCAGTAGAAAATCTGAAAGGGAAGAGACAATAGTTGCAACTGAGAACACAGCTCCTGTGGACCTGGGTTTCTCTCCCAATTCCAACCTCCCAGCTAAGAGCTTTTTGTTTTCCTAGTGAGCCAGCCACCTTGTGGCTGCAGGGCCTTGGAACAAAATATCTGTCTGCCTGGATCATTCCCTCCTTCCCTCCTAGGCATTACCTGGCCAGCTCCTATTCACCCATGAAGTCCCAGTTTACATGTCACTTCTCAGAGAACCTTTCCAGTGACTCCTCCTTCATACATGCTTTCAGTGAGAGACCACATCAGGACCCCATTATACCTTCTCGTGACGTTCTTCCTCACACAAGTTGCAGTTATTCTTAAGTAATCATTTGTGTATGTATTTATTTAGGGTGTAACTCCCCACCCCCTACCACTACCCTGCAAACTCCAGGAAGGCAGGGGCTGGAGCCGTTCATTCACTGGTTGGGTACTTCCAGCACTCCTTTAGGCTCACTTTGGGTGCTTAATAAAAAAAAACCTGAACATTTCTTGTAAGAGTGGCTGATTGAATAAAGGGCAGATCCTTCAGAAGCAAAGAGGAGCCTGGACATGGGGGTCCCTAGGGTATTATGCCAGGGCAACAGGATGGAGGGTTCTCTCTGTGTTAACTGTATCATTTAATTGAGGACAAGATTTTTCCCTGATGTCTTCATTTTTTTAATTGCTTTCCAGGAGATCAGTGTGCATACAATTGTCCACAGAAAGTGTACCTTGTAAAAATAAGTTACCTTTTGTTGAACACTTATTTTTACCATGTTGAGGACTTCACATACATTCATCATAATAACTCACGTTTACTGAGTACTCACTAAATGAGTACTATTCTAAGTGCTTTCTAAGCTGTTCTAAGCACTTTCCAAGCTATAATGCATTCATTTTCTACCCTATAGAGCTGGGTACTGTCATTATCCCATTTTACAGCTGAAGAAACTGAGGCCCAGAAAGGTTATGTTATTTGCCCAAGGACACACAGCTAGTAATAGAGCCAGGGCCTAAACTTAAACAATATGGCACAAGGACCTGTGTTCTTAACTTCTACACTCCATTGCTTTTCTGATGGTGAATTATCTCATTTAATCCTTACAACAAACCCGAGAGGTATCATGAGCCCTGTTGGATGGATGAGGCTCAGAGAGGGTAAGTACTCAGTGGAGGAGATGAGATGTGAACCCAGGAGTCTGTGATTCCAGAGTCTGGGTTCTTAGCTATGACTCTATGACCTTGTCCCTTGAGAGCTGCCTGGTGTGTGGGTCCAGTGAGATCATTGATTTGTGTATGGAGTTTGAAGACGTGTTCAGGTCCGAAGAGATGTAGGGGACTGTCCCTTGGCTTGCCATGGCACAGCAATCCTGTTGTTTCAAGTCTGAGGGCTCTCATGGAACCAGGGTATGGCAAGTTTGAAGCCTGCCTGGGCTGACCAAGGAATTTGAAAAGAAAATGAAAATAATGAAATAGTCCACAAGTATTTGGCTATCTTTGAGTATTCTGTTTGTAGTGTGTGGCCTTATTATCATAAGGGTGGAAACCTCTGGTTTCTCTAAGTATGGGGGCTTTGCTTTCAAAACGTTCTTCATCCTGCTGTTTGAGATACCCATTTTATGGAGGCAACCTAAGCCTTGTTTCTCAGTCTTCTGCTTTTCCCAGGAATTATTAGATAATGCCAATGGCAATGTTGTCTTTCCCTGCTCCTGGCTACTTTGAGAGGGACCAACTAGCCCAGTGGGACTGGGGCAGTTAATGACAGGCCCTGAAAGAGAATGGGATCCATCTATAATGCTAATGAGTTGTCAACTTCTCATGAGGCCCTGAAACTACTACTCACATTCTGAGTGTACCTACATCTGGGTCAAACCTCAGACCCTTAGTGGCTGAAGGGCTTGGAGCAATACTTCTCCTCTCTGAGCCTCAGTTTTTCATCTGTAAAATGCAGGTGACACTCATAGTATATAGACACAGATGCATGGGTCCGATGCAAGGAAGCGATGAGACAGGGCATGAGAAGTCCTCAGCACAGAGTTCAGCATGCTGTCGGCATTCAGTATAGGTTAGCTATTGCTGTTACTATCCTGTCATTGTCTGTTGTCAGGTTTCCTTGCTGTGAATGCCGCACAGTGTGTGGAAGAACCACCATCTACAGTTTAACGAGAGCAAGTAGAGGTACTCTTGGGACAGAGAATGAACAGGGTTTGGGGGAACCACCTTGCACTTGCCCCAGCCATCAGAAAAGCAGGGCTGGTCTCTGAGAGCTGCATTATTCCTTCACACTCTGGGGAGACAGCCTGCAGATAGTGAGTTCCCCTTCAGTCTGCACAATAATCCCAAACAACTCCACTTTCAAAATCAGTTTCGTGTTTCAGTGACCGCAGAATTTTTAGGTCTGGAAGAATCTAGTAGTCTGTATCTCATTCCATGACTCTCTGCAGCATACTCTTCACGTAGCAAGTTAGCTTTCCTGGATACCTGCAGTGACTAGGAACTCACTACCTGATCTCATAGTTGAATAATAATCATTTTTATTTATAGTAGCAAATATGTATTGAAAACTTACTTTTACCAAACACTCTGTTAGCACTTGGCACTTGGAATCCTTAAACTAGCCATCTGTATATGATCTCCATTTTGCAGAATGAGCAATTAAGACTTGTAAGGTTAAGTCACATGCCTGAAACCACACAGTCCATACCCTTAACTTTTGTGGTGCCGAGCCTACATGTTTATATATCTACTTTTGTGGATTTCTTTGCTTAATTTTTCCTCTACCATCTCCCTTTCCTTCACTGTGCTTCACTCTGGGAAAGTTAACTCATTTAGGTTACAACTGTCTGAAGCTAGCCTTCATGTAAGATCTAATGTTTAGTGAACATTTATTATGTGCCGGGCATTATGATAGGTGTTTTTCAGTTATTCACGATGTCATGTAATCATCATGACAATCTTAGATGCAGTGTTATCAGTCCCTCATTTTATAAAGCTCTAGAAGGTTAGATAATTTGCCCCAAGACCTTCCCCTGATAAGGGATAGAGCCAGCATTTGAACCCAGTGATTGACCCCATTTGAACCAATGGGCTTCCTGCCTTCTCCAGAACTAGGAAAGGACTGATCTTGTGCAAGGCTGGGAGGCAGGTTTCGAAGTCCCTTCACATTTTCCTTCTGAAAGTTAACCATTATTCTAACTTTAGCTTTGTTTTTTCTCCATTAAATGTATGTACCCTTGAAATGTTTTCTTTTGATCTTTGAAATAGGTTTTCTGTTTTTAAAGATATTATATGTTCATTGTAAAAATTGAAATAAGGTAGATAAATTAAAAAAGCAAGAAAAAAAATCACCTAAATCTTACCACTCAGAAAGACCCACTATACACCAAGGGTTTGGTGAAATTCATTCTAGCATTTGCATGTTCATTCTATGCACATTGCATACACAAGCAAACTTACAGAAAGCCTATTTTTTTTACTGAACAGTATGGAGAAAGTTCCACATTATGGCATATTGATTCACTCTCTTCTTTTAAGTAGGCTAATAGTACACTGCCCTCTAGTTATACCATGAACTATTTAAATAGTATCCTTTTATGTATATTTATGTCGTTCCTAAATATTTGATATTATTAATAATGCTGTAAGTAACAATTTTTGGTATGTAAACCTTGGAGCACTTGTCTAATTATTTGCTTGGAATAAATGCCTAGAAGAAGAATTGGTGGGTCAAAGTAGCCATACATTTTGTATCTTGTTGATATTATCATCTTTCCTTCTAGAAAGTTCTGCTAATGTGTAGCCCCACTATTACTGCATGAGGAGGCCTTTTCATCAGAGCCTCTTTGTCACTCTAGTCAGTTTCTGATGATTTTTTTCATTATGGCCAATAAAATGGGAGAGAAATTGTATCTCATTATTCTCATTATGTAATTTAATATTGGGCATTTTTCCATGTGTTTATTGGTTTTACACAAAATTTAGTATAGGTAAAGAATGAAAAGTTGAAAGTGACAATTTGGACAATTAAGCTAATGTGGAAACTCTTGAGTCTTAGCAGCTCAGCAAATATAAAAACTTCTGCTTTAAAAAAATTGCATGTTTATATCCCAATTCTGGTGCCCCTAATGCCTACCATGACTTTCATACAGACATGTCCTGGGGAGTACACCTGGCCAAAGGGAATGACCCTCTCTAAGCCTCATGTCTCACAAGCTTCCTGCTGGCCATTAATTGATAGGGAGTTCCCTGGGCTTTGGTGATTAGGGTGTAATAAATATTCTGGCTCAAGTCCAGAATCACTCCCTGGGAGTGGTTGCCGCAACCCACTGTATGCCCTGTGGCTGGGAGTTATTGCTCATCTTTGCAATACTTTATTCTCTCCTCCATTGATTACTGATTTAGTGAACACAAGCTGTTTACATTCTGACTTCGCCTGTGGTCCACATCGGATAGATGGAATCAGTGCTCATTTAGTTGGTACAAACATTTGGTACTAACCCGGAGGTCACAAACCTTAGACTCTCTAGAAAAGACTCCAGTTCTCTCTGGCATGTACTTTGTCTATACAGTGAAAGAAGGGTTAGGTGCACAGGTTTTAGCTAATGATTGATTTGGACCAGCATCTTCTACTTTCTGACTTTGACCTGGAACAAGTGATTTGGCCTTCATATAGCTACATAACGTTATTATGAGGATTACATGAGATAATCAACGTAAAATCATCAGCATAGTCAATGTTAGTTCATCGGATAGATCCCCCTGGAGACCATGAGAAACTCTTGAGTGGGCCTTCTCCCATTTACCTTCCCTTGGGAGAGTAAACTGTAAATTTATAAGGACGGCATTCCCAGGAATCCTGCCCATCTACCTGCCACCTCCATACTTTGTGTATGCCTTGGCATTATGCTTGTCTACCTGTACAGTGATTATCTGCTGATATTCAGCCTCCTCAACCAGACTGCAAGGTCCTGGAGAGCAGAAAAAGCCAC